CATTATCCTTGTTTTACAAGTGGATGCTGACTAAAAAAAAAAAAAAAAAAGAATCTCCTTTGGGAGATTTCTCTTTCCAGAGAATCTCCCAAGCTCTACCCCTTTGGAGCAGTTCCCTCCCTCTTATAGCCTCCAGGGGCTGGCCATGCTTCTTTCCCTAACTTGTGGACAGGTCCTGGTCATTAGTTTCTGTCATTCACCCCAACCTTCTTTACACTTACGCCCTGCTCCTTCTCTCCCTAAGGCTGGGCCTGGAGGACTCCTCCTCAACCCAAGTTAGAAAAGTCCCCACCTCCTTCAGGATCAAGCCTGCCCCCTTCTCCTTCAGGAGGCAAGTCCCACCCCTCTTCATTCTGCCAGGCCCCGCCTTCCTTTTTTCAGACGAGGCCCTTCCCTTCCCTCTGCCAGAGCCTCGCCTGGTCCCCTTCGCTCCCTCGAGTTAGGCCCCGCCCCACCATCCCTTGGATAGGGCCCTGCTTCCTTCTTTGAGTTAGGTCCCGCTCTCTTCTGGTCCGCCCTTCCGCGAGCCAGACTCCTTTTCTTCCCTCTCTGAGCCAGGCCCCGCCCCGGTCCCCCCGTCAGAGTAGCTTCTGCTCCTCCTTCTCTGAGTTAGGCACCGCCCCTTCTCCCTCTAGAAGTCGGGCCCCGCCCCCTTCTTTGCCTCAGGGCCAGGCCCCGCCCCCTTCTCACTCTACCTTGGGACTCCTCGCTCGAACCTTGGGCCGGACCCCTTCACCATCTTCTGCCTCCTTCCTACCCTCCAATACAGTGTCTCTACAACACTCACACTCCCCCTGCGAAACCCCTAGACTCCTATAGGAACCCCCAGACTATTTCGGGACCTCCAGGACACTTGCATCTCCAACCTCGCCCCAGATTCCTTTCCTGAACCCGGCTCTGCTTACCCAAGGGCCCCAACTCCGACGCAGCGGGCGGTCTGGCTACTCGGCGACTCGGCATGGCCCGGGGACGGATGGCCCGGAGGCCAGCCCAGAACGAAGCACGCACGCGGGCAGGCCAGGCAGCCAGGCGGAACCGTCCGGTGGACGATCGCGGGTCAGGCCAGCGGCGCAAGGGCTGGAGCCGCAGGCCGGGCTGGACGCGCGGCGCCCGGGGCTGCGGGGGGCGCCGGGCCGGGCCGGGCGGGCGGCGGGCGGGGGCGGGGCAGCGGAATTCCCCGGCGCCACCGGCCTGCGCGCCCATTGGCCCGCATCCTGTCGTGACGTCACGCCAAGGGGAACGGGAAAACCCCCACGCTACACGCAACATCAGGGGGCGGGGCCGGCCGGGAAGAGGCGGCTGGGCGCTCGATAGGGGTTGGGCAGGCGTAGCTGCCCATTGCTCCCGACAAGACAACTGAGCCTTGTTTAGGGCCACTCACGCCATACCCATTGAACAAGCTTCCCATTCTTGGTTTCCTGGTGGGACTTGAACCTGCTTTTTCTCAAGCTGGAAGGATCGCAAGAATCGAAGGATCACAAGATTACCAGGGTTCTACATCTGTCATTGAAAATAACGATCTTTATGAAATCTCCAGGTATCGCACTACCTCAGCTTCTTCAACTGATAAAATATTTAGTGAACATTTAAAGCTAGAATGTCAGCTTCGGGATTTCTGTTCCTTGTATCTTCAACACCTAAAACAGGGCCTGCAACATAAAATAAATGTTAAGTGAGCAAGTGGATGGATTTTTAATTTATTGTTTTGTCTCTTCCCATCCTGTCTCCCAATCACTAGTTGTGTGAACTTAGGGCAACTGACTTTATCTCTCTTAGCTTCAGTTTCCCATGTGTAAAATGGGTGTAATAATAGGATGGTCAGGGAGGTACCTGTGGCTCAGTGAGTAAGGCATTGGCCCCATATACCGAAGATGGTAGGTTCAAACACAGCACCAGCCAAACTGCAACAACAAAAAAAAAATAGCTGGGTGTTGTGGCGGGTGCCTGTAGTCCAAGCTACTTGGAAGGCTGAGGCAAGAGAATTGTCTACGCCTAAGAGCTGGAGGTTGCTGTGAGCTGTGACGTCACAGCACTCTACCATGGGCGACAAAGTGAGACTCTGTCTCAAAATAATAATAATAATAATAGGATGGTCATAAGGAGTAAATAAGATGATAATAATTGAAACTTTTTTTAAAAAACAGTATCACTATGTTGCCCTTGGTAGAGTGCTGTGGCATCACAGCTCACAGCAACCTCAAACTCTTAGGCTTAAGCTATTCTTTTGCCTCAGCCTCCCAAGTAGCTGGGACTACAGGTGCCCGCCACAACGCCTGGCTATTTTTTTTGTTGTTGCTGTTGTCATTGTTGTTTAGCAGGCCCGGGGTGGGTTCAAACCCACCAGCCCTGGAGCATGTGGCCAGCACCCTAACCACTGAGCTACAGGCACTGAGCCGAAACTTTTTTTTTTTTTCCTTAAACAGGGTCTCGATCTGTTGCCCAGGCTGAAGTGCAGTGGGGATCAGCCCAGCTCATTGCAACGCCAAACTCCTGGGCTCAAAAGATTCTCCTGCCTGAGCCTCAGGAGTGGCTGGGATTGAGTGTGCACCACCGAACCTCACTAAGTTTTTTATTTCTTGTAGAGATGAGTTGTCTCTATGTTGCTCAGGCTGGTCTCAAAATTCTGGCCTCAAGCAATCCTCCCACTTTGGCCTCCCAAAGCGCTAGGATTACAAGTGTGAGCTACCCCACCTGGTAAGACATGTATATAGTTCTCGCAAGTGCCAGGCACTATTCTAAACATGTTACATCCTAAATACATGTCTCACTTAAACTTTTGTGTGACCTGGGACAAATTACTTAATTTCTCTGGATCTCAGTTTTCTCAGGTGGGGATAAATGATAGCACATACAAGATTGTTGTGAACCTTCAACTTACAGTTATTACATACGGTATAGCAGTTTCAGGCACTGCTCTAAAAGCTAGGGCCAGGTTGGGCTAAGTGGCTCACACCTGTAATCTTAGCACTCTGGGAGGCCCAGGCAAGTGGATTGCTTGGGCTCATGAGTTTGACACCAGCCTGAGCAAGAGCAAGACCCTGTCTCCACTAAAAATAGAAAAAACTGAGGCAAGAAGATCACTTGAGCCCAAGAGTTGGAGGTTGCTGTGAGCTATGATGCCATAGCACTCTACCCAGGGCGACAGCTTGAGACTGTCAAAAATAAATAGATAATAAATAAATAAATAAAAATTAGGGCCATAATAACAATCACCACAGACAAAAAACCCTTGCTATCAAAGAGCTAAAATCCAAGTGAGGAAGACAGATAGAAAATGGAGAAGCACATGTATGTGGTGACAGTGATATTATAGAAGGATAAAGCAAGACCTTCGAATTAAATCTGGGGGGCAGTTCAGGTTAGGAAGTTTAGGGAAGAGTCTGAGAAGGTGGTATGTGAGCAGAGAATGGAAGGAGGAGAGATCCATGTGGATACCTAGAGTGCAAAGACTTTGAGGTGGGAACAAGCATGGCATATTTAGGGAACATCAAGGGAAGTGGAGCAGAGTGACTAATACAGTGGGGTTGAGGCCAGAGTGATGGACCCATAAATGAGGACATTGAATATTATTAGTTTTTTTTGAGAGAGAATGTTGCTCTATCCCATTGGCTAGAGCACCCTGGTATCAGATTAACCCACAGCAACCTCAAACTCCCAGACTCAAGTGATCCTCCTGCCTCAGCCTCCCAAATAGCTGGGACTACAGGCACCCACCACAATGCCCAGCTAATTTTTCTATTTTTAGTAGAGACAGAGTCTGGTTCTTGCTCAGATGATCTCAATTTCCTGAGCTCAGGGGATCCTCCACCTTGACCTACAGTGGTAGGATTACAGGTGTGAGCCCTCATATCAGGCTGAATAATTTTTTTTTTTTTTAAGAGACAAAGTCTCACTTTATTGCTCTCGGTAGAGTGATACGGCATCACAGCTCACAGCAACTTCCAGCTCTGGGGCTTAGGTAATTCTCTTGCCTCAGCCTCCTGAGTAGCTAGGACTACAGGAGCCCTCCACAATGCCCTGCTATTTTTTTGTTGCAGTTTGGCCAGGGCCGGGTTTGAACCCCCCACCCTTAGTATATGGGGCCGGCGCCCTACTCACTGAGCCACAGGCGCTGCCCCAGGCTGAAGAATGTTAATAGTAATAGATGAAGCAAATCACATATATAGCACTTAGACTATGTATGTGGCTCATGATAAGGAGTGACAAATAGTGGCTTCTATTATAGGACCAGAAGGTTATCTAATCCCCTTCTGCCCCTTGCAAATGTCAGGCCTCACAAATATTTGCTGAATGAATAACTGAAAGGACACATCAGATATCATCAGTACTGTTTCAGCTGGGTTATGAACCCCACAAGGGCAGGCTGTGGGACTACCTTGGTCCCACTGTATCCGTAGAGCCCACTGGCACCTTGCTACACCCAAAGGAAGAGTTATTTGTTGACTTCATGTCAGTCTTTCTCCATGTTTCCAAATGTGGGCCCTTCCAATGTCCCTATCTCTGGATCTGTCTGTGTGTCCATTTAAGTGACTGTTAGAATTGTTCAAATATACACTTAGCAAACGTTCTTGGAGCACCTCCTGTGCACACAGCCCTGTGCTGGGGAGATGGGCCAAGATGGCCCTGGCTATGTCCTGATATGATCTCTGTCCAGTGGAGGAGCCTGACCTGTCCTCAGGGATGACAGAATGGGCAGGACTGCTATGAGAGAGGCTGAAGACTTGAGGGTCAAGGAGGGCTTCCTAGAGGAGGGACTCACAGAGAGGTAAAGAGGAGCTGTGCACCTAGGGGCATGTCCAGGTGGAGAGAAAAGCATGACCTCTAGCTTGGATGTAAAACAATACTAAGAGCAAGAGAGGCCAGGTTGGCTGCTGGAGTTAAGAAGGCTCTGCCCAGGTCCTGCTTACCATTGAGGACCCTGGGCTCTTCTCCCAACACTAGTGGGGAGCCATAGTAGGTTCTTTTTTTCTTTTTGATATAGAGTCTCACTTTGTCAACCTCAGTAGAGTGCTGTGGCCTCATAGTTCACAGCCAGCTCAAACTCTTGGGTTCAAGCAATTCTCTTGCCTCCGCCTCCCAAGTACCTGGACTACAAGTGCCCACCACAGTGCCTGGCTATTTTTTTTTTTTTTTAAGAGACAAGGCCTCGGCTCAGCGCCTATAGCTCAACCGGCTAAGGCGCCAGCCACGTACACCTAAGGTGGCGGGTTCGAATCCCCAGCCCAGACCCG